GAAGCTCGGGGTTACGCGATAAAGAAGGGTCGGCACACGAGCGAACTAAGAGGTGAGTAGAGCAGGAGTCGGGCGACCCGACGAGCTGGTGCCGAACGCGCGGGGTTGACACGGGCCACGACGGACTGTGGGCGCGGGCGAACCTGACGGGTGCGGGAGGACTAAGCGGGGTGACGACTTCGTGGGTTGGTGCGCGACGACGGACTGTCCGCATCGGAGAAGAAGAGAGAGGGAGAGAGAGTTGAGGTTGATGGATGCGGTTTTTCTGTTTCTTCTATCTTTTCTCCCTCCTGTCTTGTGTACATAAGTTTTGATTTCGGCTCCGGGCAGCTTGCCCGTTCTTTTCAATTTCTCGGAATTTGAACCTGGGTTTTTTGCTTACATTTGCCCTAGCGACTCTCCCATCTTTGATGTGCTATGTGTATGGTTATGGAATGGATGGATGTATGGATGCCATGCTTGATTGTATATCGTTTTGCTGAGAAACCCTTGTCTTTGCTTTTGTTGGTCGCATTCGACGCACTCGTGTGTAGAATAGGGATCTTGAGCAATCGATAATCCTGTCTTTGTCTCTGTTTGTTTTTTTTTTTTTTTTTTTTTTTTTTTTTTTTCGAGCTGGTTGTGATCATTGCATCTTGCATAACTCACAACATCACGAAGTGATTAGGCGGTCGGATCCCGGGCTCGATAAACGCCACGCGAGGACACGTGTAAGACGCGATCTAAGTTGTGCACTTACACATATCCCCGTGCGTCGACTCAACGGGACCATCAATCCGTCCGATTGAGAGCGGCCATCTTGAAATCCACAACAACGCAATCGTCCCGCACAAGCACGCGTAAGTCCGACGACAGTCACGCGGCCTGCACGTGCTCGCACGCGACGACCGTGATCCGTCCTTAGGCAACTCATAAATCGCAATGTCATGATRACGCGATCCTGGGATTCCGACTCATCCTACGACCCGGATTACTTCACCCCGTTGGTAAACGAACTCCTCCAACAGAGGTACCCGTGCCACACCGAGAATCGACTGTGTCCTCGGGAGTTCCATTGCGCCACCTCTAGCGACCCCCGGTGCTCTGATTTCCCTTCTCCCGACCACACCTACTACTTCATCCACCCGGGATTTGTCGTCATCACCACCAATTTCCCTCCTTTTCGCCTTCTTCTCCCGTATCATCAACTCAGCGTCGTTYCGTGGCCGGCCATARCCCCCTATTGGCCCAGCACGCCCTGTGGAAATTGCCGACGTGGCGGCGAACGAAGAACCCCGGAATTCCGAAGGCCCAACTCGAACACGCAGCGGCCTGCGCCGYGTGGCGGCCTTCGACGGCCCAACTTTTCGGGACCACCTCCTCCGCGGAGGGACTTCCCTGTAAGCCGTCGCCCACTGTACCCAAGCCCCATCGGGCCTTGAGTCCCTTGTGCATGCGCCCGTTATTAGCCTAATTGCATTCATACCCCTAAGACTCCCCCACTTTCCCCAAAAATCCTTGGCACACCCCTTTTCGCACNCCCTTGTGCATGCGCCCGTTATTAGCCTAATTGCATTCATACCCCTAAGACTCCCCCACTTTCCCCAAAAATCCTTGGCACACCCCTTTTCGCACTTCCAGGCCCACATCCCACTCCGATTAGGAAGTCGCGCTGGGCGTGAGGTTGGTATCGGAGCCGACACGTGGCTGGGTCTTAGGATCAATAGCATAATAATTAGGCGATCTGGCTAACCGAGGGCGGCCTCGCCCTCGGAACGCGCATAGACTCGACCCCGTCGCCACCCGAAGTAGATCAGCCAATAGACGAGCGACCATTATGGCCGCCAATGTGCCAAACCCGCAGCAAAATGCCAATCAACCGAATCCTAATCAACCCGCCCCATGTGCACGGGCTCCCATGACGCCACCTGATCTATATTTATTTGACCTTGCGCACCACCTTGCAGGAGCATGGTTGACCACACTCCGAGCACAACAGTATGACGATCACGAAGCTTAGGTAAACATCCTCACTCGATTGGGAGGAGACGCTCATCACTGGTTTAGTACCTATATGTAGGTAGATCTTCAGACCTTCGAACGAGACTTTCTGAACCGATTTGATTACGTTCACCCAGAGCAAGCACTTTACATGATCAAGGATCGAGTGCAAAAACCTCTCGAGTCCGCTGAAGAGTATCGAAACCAGTTCTATCGAATGTTTCTAAAGACTGAGCGAGGAGAGCAAGTAGGGAGAGAAATGTTCATAGACGGACTCCGCAGCCGAACAATAAGGGCGAAGCTGCGAAAGCAGTTTTCCCCCATCAATCATACATTACAGCAAATCATGGACGCTGCAGAAGACATGGAACGGAAGTTCGCGGCGAACTTCCTGGAAGGAGAGGACTATTCTAGGGAAGGAGATTCGTCCGAACTCGCAAGGGCAAAAGTCGAATTGGCTGCGCTGCAAAACAAATTTGAAAACATGGGGTTTGTGTCGGGTCATGTCACCTACATAGAACAGATAGCCCAGTTCCAAGTGAGATCCCAAGTGTCCCCGTCCCTGTAATGCCAATGCCTGTAAGAACGGCACCCCCGCCCCCAGTCGAAACTCCCGTACGATCGAATGAATCAACTGCCATACTCGAGCTGACCAAAACCTTGGTTAGTTTAATTCAGGAAAGCAAAAAGGAGCAGCGAGAGCAAAATGCTCGGTTGGAAGCCATGATGAGGAACATGCGGCCCATTGCGGTGTGTGCCCCTCCGATTCAGCAAGGGTTAGCCCCGGCCCCTGCTCTTGGAGGAATCGCAAGCAATCTGAATGTCTGTTATGCATGTCATCAACCTGGACATCTAGCCCGTGATTGCCCTCACAGGCCTCTGCAACAACGTGTCAGGGTCGCGCCGATGGCCGCGCAGCCCATCGCTAACGGACCAGGACGAGTCGGAGTTTTGATGGAAGAAATAGAGGGTGCGGGAAGTGCCCTAGCCACCACGGAAAAGGTCGCCGAGCTAATCCTGTTAGATCAGTACGTATCATTTGGTTATACCGGGCTTGGAATGATCGGAACGATCAGACCAGCGCCAGAACAGAAAGAGGTGGCGGAGTGGCGACCTTCTCTAGGAGAGATGGAATCAGAAGGACCCACTTTCGTCACGGGATAAATCGATATATTAAACATCGTCCGAGCCTTGGACCATCGGATTCCACTTCCGATCGGTCATTTGCTTTCGATCTCTGAACAAGCCAATGAGCGGATGTTGCAAAGCGAACCGAAAACGATTCGCTCAAGCCCGAGTACCGAAAGCAAAGACTAAAAGCCCCACACTCGAAGAAAATCCGACAGACACTTCGGATCCGATACGGGTAGGATTAATCCAGAAGGACGACCATTTCCTGCGGATTAAACCCATCCCGTGGAAGTCCGCCGAATGCGATATTGAAATTTGGGGAATTCCGTATAACGCAATCATTGATTCAGGAGCGGTCGTTTTGGCTATTTCGTTAAGAGTAGTCGAGAGAGCAGGAAGGAAAAACGATCTGATCATGCTCACTGAGAAAAATCAGCTCGTTTCGGCAAATGAAAAAAAGATCAAGACCGTGGGAAGAATGACCAATGTCGCTTTCCGATTAGGAAAAGTGCACGCACTTGGGGATATCGTAGTACTAGATGTTAATACGTACGGCGTTCTTTTTGGACTTCCTGCTCTTGTAGCATTACGAGCAAACCTGGATTTTGAACGACGATCTATCGTCCTACGAAATACAGGAGGAAAGCCCTATGTTGTACCTATGAGGCTAACCCTTCGTACCACCATCAGCGCAGTCCCACGTGTTTCGTCGATAATGGCAGGGACTCTTCGCATGATCTCCTGGGATGAATCCGCAGACGGAAAGTCATTGACGAATGATGTGAACAACAGTGATGAGGACGACCCGGAAATCTCGAAGCTAGCACGACACCGTGTTTACTACCCGCCACCCAGAACGATAGCAAGAACGATGCATCTGACCAATGGGAACGCTCAGAGGACCAAGGCGATGATCTTGGGTGAACCCCTCGTGCAGATTTCAAGGATGGTCGATTCTTTGGAACCCCCTCAAACCCTGTACGAAGGAATCACCCCTCTCCTCTCCCGATACAGCGACAAAAAGCATTACTGCGACATTACGGAACTACCAAGGTCCCTTTTGACATCTGCTAAAGAAGTGCGATTGTTACGCTTGGGGGCGGAAGCAAGTTCTCTGGAACCCCCTGGGTGTCTCGAAGCAGAAACAGACGAACTAGGGATAAAGATCGCAACTAAGAACGTGCCATGGCATGATATTTGTGACGGGATTATCCCGGAAGGACACGTGGCAATCCGGGAAGAAGATGCCCAGATGATGGCCACGGTGTTCTCCTGACGATCGGACCATTCGTTCATTTCTGCACCCCCGCCCGATGTGGCGAAACCTGCACGCACAAAACAGATAGAGGTATGGATCTGGGATCAACTTTTCGAGTTACACGTGCCACAGTACGTACCCGATGAAATTCATCGGTTGATTGCGGACATTTTGACGGAATATCGGGGAGCGATTAGCGTGACAGACACTGACATTGGCCTGTCGTTAGTTATTCAACACGAAATACAGACGGGAAATCACTCCCCGATCCATTGTAAGTCGTACCGATACTCCCTGATAGAACGCAAAAAGGCTCTCGAACGAATTCGAGAATTCAAAGCCTGCGGATGGATTGAACCCGCCACCGGACCATGGTCATTTCCCATCGTACTACTGCGGAAGAAAAACGGATCAATCCGAATATGCATCGATTATCGCAAGTTGAATGAAATCATGATTAAAGATGTGTTCCCCTTCCCCCGGATTGATGATTTGTTGGATACGATTGGATGCGCTAATTATTTTAGCAAGTTTGATATTCGACATGGCTTCCATCACATTCTGGTAAAGGAGGAAGACTGGTCGAAGACGGCCTTCGTACTGTTTGAAGGTACGTGGCAGTAGGTTCGATGTCCGATGGGGATTTGCAACGCGCCTGCCACGTTTCAGCGAGCTATGGACATGACGTTCCATAATTTCGTCAACGAGACACGGCTGACACAGGGATGATTAACTTCTGCGTGATCGTGTACATGGACGATATCCTGGTCTATTCAGAAACCTATCACGGGCAAGCGCAACATATCGAATGGACATTGGGCGAGTTGAGAGACGCTGGGTTCAAGATTGCGCTCGAGAAGAGCGAATTTTTCCTCTCGGAAATTTTGTTCTTGGGCTACGTCGTGACACGTGGAGGATTACGACCGGAAATTTTGTTCTTGGGCTACGTCACTGACGCAGGTTCGAGCCTTTTGGGGTTAACGTCATACTACCGGCGCTTCATCAAGGGCTTTGCCGCGATTGCACGGCCATTAACGAACCTGATAAGGAAGGACCAGCATCTCAGCTGGGACGCGGAGTGCCAACAGGCTTTCGCAACCCTTAAGGACGCTCTGGCGACGACCCCTATTTTGATTCGGTCGGACCCCTTGAAACAGTTCATTCTCATCACGGACTGTCAATCGGAAGCTATCTCCGCTATTTTAGCGCAGAAGGGGAACGATGGTCATGAACACGTCATCAAATACGCGTCAAGCACGGTACCGGACGAGCGAAGGAATGACTCAGCACCTCAGGGTGAGTGCTATGCAGTAGTCTGGGGAATTCAGCACTTCCATCCGTATCTCTACGGGCAGAAGTTTCGCCTCGTGACGGATCACGAGCCTCTGCTAGCTTTGAAGAAGCTCACCAACTATACGGGCATGATTGGCCGATGGGCGGTACGACTACAGGAGTACGATTTTGATATCGTCCATCAAAAGACAGAACGACACGGCAACGCGGACGGACTGACACGTCTGCATCGACCGACTAAAGTACCAAAGGGCGAGGAAATTACAACGTGGAAGGAGCCGGAATTGACAAACGAGCCTAAGTACGGGCAAGTGGCAGTTCTCCCACGTGGCAAGAAGCAGAACGGTGGCAATGGATGACGGAGGTAACCCCACTACCCCTCTTTCTCCCCTTTCCTCTTCGTCTCTCCTCTCCCTGCCTGACAAATTTTGCTATTTTTGCGAAGCTATCTCCCGCGTGTACTCAGTTTTCATGCGTCCTAACGGGGAAGGGTATGCGGACTGGATTGAGTGTCGACAGTGCGTCGCACGAGCCCATGGGCTCGTGCATCTAATATAGAAACGATAGTAAACCGTGGTTGTGCCCCTTGTGCCGGACCGGCAAGATTCCGACCGAGGCTTGCTTTTTGGATGCCACGTCAGAAGGGTTGGAAAAGACCCGGAGGTTTAGAAGGGCCGAAGTATGGACTGATATTGCCTTGATTGCCACCCTAGTTGGCAACCCCCTCCAGGATTTCACCAAGAAAGATCGGAGGAGGGCCAACAAGAGGGCTCGAGATTACAGATGGATAGAAGGCAGATTAGAAAAATGAAAAACAAACGGCAGTGGGATTTGGATGGTTGTGCCGCATCCGTTCATGAGGTATGACTGGGTTAAGACAACGCACGAAGAAACTGCGGCTCATTTCGCCGTATGAATCACGGAGTCCGCTATCGACAAAAATGAGTGGTACTGGTCCAATATCCGCGACGATGTGAAATACATCGTCGCCAACTGTCAAGTTTGTGTCGCTGATAAAGCGCCGATTCAGCCACCGAGATCGATAGTACCCACGGTAGTTGAACGACCGTTTCAAAGAGTGAGCATGGATACTACCGATATAGTGGTGCCCCCTAGCCCTAATAGTTGCGAATATTCAGTTCTATTGGTATTTGTCGACCATTTCTCGAAATGGATCGAGGCGTACCCTTGTCGCACGCGGCAAGCCACGGAAATCGTGCGATACGTCAACCGACAATGGGGCTAAATTCAGGGGAGAAGTGCTAAGGAATCTGGTCCTACATGGCGTTGCCATATGGAATACTGCACCCCACATGTCGCAATCCAATGGGCTGGTGGAAAGCGCCAACCGGGTGATAAAGACAGCATTGCAACGAAATATCGCGACACGGGATCCGAGGCCCTGGCCCGATATCGTCGACCACATCCTGGCGGTCAATCGCGGAATGCCCCATGAATCGACGGGGTTGAGCCCCTTCCAGTTGAGGACCAATAGCGTCGCTTGCGTTTCGATACCAAGCCTCCCAGATGAATCCACACTGAACCGACGCCCACCAGGGCTACGGCTCGGGACAATGCCTAATGACACTTAGAATTAATGGAACAGTCCCTGCCCAGGCTAGCCCGAAAACGACGAAAAATGACTGAACTGGCCCAAGGCTGACAGGTCCGAAGCTACGAGGCCCGAAATGGGAATGCGGGTCCGCGGCCCCAGTACAAATTAGGGGACGTGGTGCAGGTAAGAAAATGTGCTCGCCAGGGTAAGCTAGCGCCACGATTCTTCGGGCGATATCGCGTGATCGAGCTCAGGCCTAACAACGTGGACACCGTGCGTCTCGCCCCCGAAGCCTCCAGCAGTCGATTGGCTCGTCCGATCACACAACACGTGTCCTATCTTCGCCTTCTTCCCTCTACTCCGTCTCCTTCTCCCTCTGTCTCTCTCTCCGAGGAAGCCGACGACGACGACTCTATCTCCCCGGCATCTCCCTCTTCTTCTTGCTCCCTCTCTGCCTCCCCGTCACCTCCGTCATCGCCATGAGCTTCGTCACCGAGCGGGCTTTCGGTGATCAGTTGTTGATGCCACGGGGAGAGATCTCGGCCATCCGCCAAGTGCATCATCCGCGGATCAGCCCCGACTTCTTGAGCCTTGCGCAGTTTTTCTGCACCTCGGGTGTGTACGGCGCGGCAGAGTTCCGGTTCGCGACCGACTCCCAGGTGATGGTGCTGGCGGAAGCAACGACGTTCCAACGGCGAGCGGCCCCGGGTGTTAGCCACGTGTCTACCGTGGTAGTCTTTAGCGGCGACATCACCGCCTTCGATCCGGCGCGGCAAGCCGCCATCAAGAGCACCTTGTACAAGTGGGGTCGTGATCTGGCCACTGATTGGGATCGACGGCTCACAAGGCATGGTGACGAGTGTTATCCTATCGACGACATCGAGGTCAACGCGCTGCGCACAACGCTGCGCGAGCCACCTGCTGTCCTCCCTGAGCTTGCCCCCTTCCAGCCGCGCAGATGAGCCGCGCGCCGATCTCGACATTTTCCCCTCCCTCTCTCTTCCCCATCTTCTGGCAGTCCTCTCACTACCCCCGTCTCTCTTTCTGCCTGGAGTCGCTGACAGTACCAATCGTTGATCCGGATCGTTGGAGGCTGTGGCGCGCAGAGTTCGTCGAGCTCTCGTTTTGCCTGCTACGAGTGGATCTGAACTAGACATGGGAAGCCGATCGGAGGCCCGCGTCAGAAACCGTGGAGCTGCTCATCATTCAAGCGTGGAGGACTAACGTGGCAGGGGATCTTCTGGGATTCGTTTTTGGAGCGGTGGATCAGAGATACCGATCACAGATCGTGCGCGAACTTACGATCGTGATCGCGTGACTGGCCGACGAGCTCCCCCTCGATATCATCTCTCAGAGCGACGAAGAGCCCGTGCCGCACGTCCTCTCAAGGGCTCTCGCCCCGAGCCTCCAGTGGTCGGCTTGTATCGAGGAGCGTTGGGCGGACGGTCGTTTTCCATCCCGCAGCGAGTACCTGGACGTCCACAGCCTAACTAACCCCCGATTCTTCCGGCAACCAACGGCGTTCGAGTGGGCCGCGCTAAGAGAGGAAGAAGAAGCAGAAGAAGAATCGGAAGCAGAGTTAAGAAGAGAGGCCGGGGAAGCAGCGGCCCGGTTGGCCGAGGACGAGGAAGAAGAACGCAAAGCGGAGGACGAAGAAGAGGTAGAGGAGGAGACTTCGGAAGAGGAGGAGGAAGCCTATAGCGAACACAGTGAGGGGGAGCGAAGCGAAGAGGAGGAGAACGAAGGCGACAACGAAGGAGTGGAAAGTGGAGAAGACGATCGGGAGCTAACGCACGACGACGAGATCGAGCGAGGCCTGAACCGGATCATCGAGAGGAGAACCCTGAGGCCACCGCGCAGCGCAAGAAGGAGGTCGCGGAAGGAAAGCGGCCAGTGATCGACTCCGCACCGAACGATCCCTCCAAGGATCCCGAGCCGCCCAAGTCGGAATATGGGGACCTTGCTGCCATGACCTCGGGCGCCACGACGACAAGGCGCCGATCCCGCTCCCAATCCCGATCCTCATCCCCCTCCCCCTCTGCCCGTCCCCCAATTCGTCAACGTGTCAATGAGGGGCTTCGCCCTTCGTCCCCGATCCATATACCACCGTCCCCTTAGCCACCTCTCTTTCAATCAGTATCTCCATCGCGTCGTTTTCCCCCGTAATCCCTTCGCCATCGTCACCTTCCGACATTTCTACTCCGCCCGCCTAGAGATGACTGTCCATCCCCACCTTTCTGTTCGGTGGGCCGTCCCTGATTACCCCCTCCACGTCCTACTCCTTAGCGCCGTGTGGCGAGGCCGTAACCACATAGAGGTTTACTGCATCGTCACGGGGACATTTCCCACGTGCGAAGACCATGATCGGTTCCGCACGGACGTCCTCCGAACCCTCGTCTCCCTTTACCCAGACTACCTCGCTTCCCTTCCCCGCAGCGGCCAGAGATTCCCTCGTTTCCATCGCATCGTCCGCTTTCAAGATCTTCCCTACGACCTCACCACGATCGGGCGCTTCATACCCGAGCTTTTGATGGAGCCGCCTCACCCTCCCTCATACGTGTATCGCCTTCCTTTCCCCCTCCCGGTTAATTACTGATGCAGCGGTAATGAACGCGTGTCGCGGCAACGGCACGAGAAAGATCCTGTCCTTGGATTGTTGAGAGCCCAATCTCAGGAATTAGTAGAAGAGCAGTATTGCCACGTTGGACAACGTCCACACTCAATTGAACGGTAAGTGGCATAGAGACAGATGCTCCGCGTGTCGATCGATTAGAGAAATCGACACGTGTCAACAAGCAAGCAGGAACTTGCTAATATTGGAACCCCCTAGGCGTCACATATGTGACGAACCACTTTCTGTAACGCGCGGCTTTCTGCGTGGTTGCAATGAAGGGTCCTAAGTTGGGAAGGTTGGGCCAATTACGAGAGATCGGGATCGGTGGGAAATTGCATCAGTGTCCTTGCTTTTTCGTCTTTTCCGTCGCTTCTTTTCGAATGGCTGGGTTCGAAGCTGGGCATGTTCTGGGATGGCCGGTTGATTGATTGGTCGGCTGGATGGCTGGCGCGCCTCTGCGCGCTCGATTAATAAATGTTGACGTCGTTTCTCTCGCTTCGGTTTTGATCTTTGGGTTGCGGACATCGCGCGGGAATTTGCCTTGTTCTTTTTGAATTTTTCTTTCAAATCTTTTTCGAATTTTGTCGAGCCCTGATGGCTCTCGGAATTTCG